TCTGATAATTTCGTGGCACCGCTAACTCTGTGGCAATTTAAATGAAATTGATTCTTCAAATGTGACTAGCATATAGCAGGTGTAAAATTTAATTATCTGTCTTTGTTAGCTAAATTTACTATTTATTTATAGAGAAAAGCCATGCAACTTTCTATTTGAGGTTGATGTTTTAATGTAACATAACGTGCAAATGCATTATTCGCACCTAATAATTCTTAAGTAAATTAAAATATATAGAAATAATTTCTACATCTAATAAATGATAAATATTTTAAACAATAAAGTAAATGAATAAAATCCGCAGCCTAGCAATTAATAAACCGATGTCAAACAAGATTAATATTAATCTTAATCACACCCGTGTTAATCTTCTCTGACATCGGGTTACTTATATGTTTTATTATTTGCTACTAATTACAAATTACTATTTATGTAGGATTTGGGATTGATCGAGGTTGGCGAATAATTAAGACGCGGAAGAAATGTTAAACAGGATGTATTTGAATAGTAAAATTGAAATGTATACAAAGATATGTATATGTAAATGTATAAAAAGATTGATGCAGTAGATCGATCACTCGACCGACGTTTCTACCGATCGGAATATAACCTCTCTATTTATATAAAATAACAAGAACATATATGATATGTTAATTGCGATAGCAATTGTGATGTAATTTCACGATAACCCGAGTTATGCGAGACAAAATGTTTTTGCATTTCGTCAATTTGTTATTGTAGCTTACGTAGAACCGTGAACATATAAGGATTAGGTAATAGAAATTATGTTAGCAAAAACGAAGCGTACAAAACGTTGCTTTTCTTTTCTTTTTTTTTCCTTTTTTTTTTAATGTTAATAGCCAGAACAGAAATTCAGATAAAATATTTTGACAAATATTGCCTTGTGTGATAATCTAAGAAGCTTAAATGCTTATTTTGTAATTAGTATACAAATATTATCACGAAATTATACAAATAATAAGCGTGATAAGAAAACATACAATACACCTATGATATTTAAATTGAATGACAAATATGTATCTTGTATTCCTCGCATGTAATTGAGCTTACCGATACATATTTACTGGATTTAATTTTCTAAAACTGAAAGCAATCTATTTTCCTAGGAAATTTCGCGATTAAACTCACTTTTGGAGTGTCAATACATTCCAACACGTTTTAACCATTTCAAACAATTTATTTCTCCGCGATTTTATTCTGTAAATTGTGCAAGGATTGTTTCTAAACCTTCGATAGTTATTTTGCAAGAGTTTCAACTCCAAGAAAAAGCATGTTTAACCACATGCAAACCAACTAATCGTAATTTGCTCGATTGGAAGTTATCGAACAGCGAGTAAACGTAATAAACACGGAGTGTAATTAACAGGGGCGAATGTTGAACAATCCATTCGATACACCCGCATTTCCGTTTATACAGGCTCGCAAACGAATAAATATCACGCGTTCGACGCTATAATTAAACCACTAAGCGAGTGAAAATACCGATACAGCCCCTCGTTATTCGAATTTATTTCTTCGATACACCGGAAATAACCCCCAATAATGGGAGTTCATGATCGCATTAATAATCGGGATATCGGCAGGGAAATGTACGCGAGCAACGAGGAAACCAACTTGGTTGAATCTATGAAATCACGAACGCTTCCTATTCGCAAACTTTCGCTACTTGATTCGTGTTATTGGAGCATAATCGACCCTACCCAAAAATGCACTATTATCCAGACGTTGGTGAAAGTAGATATGGCGACGCCTACATCTCTCTTTTCATAACAAAATTTCCAAATACTAGTTTCATCTACAGTCACGCTCAATTTACGTCAAAATTCGAATTATTCAGGTTTAATTCCAAGCGTTGTTTATTTTTTTTTCATAAACTGTATATTTTAGTAGAAAATATTATTGTAGAGTATAACTTAGTTAAATTCTCTCGCTCCTAAATGCTATTTAGTATATTCCATGCTTGTATTTTCTTTACTGTATTTCACAAATTTTTATACGTTGCGTTATCCTCGATCAACAACTGACTATCCCGTAAAAGTACTGTCTAAACATTAATTAATTTTATGACTCTAGTCCCTCTCACATATATTCCCTTTTCTGTACATTTATCTCCACCTGAATACAAATGAATTATAATTCAGCCAATGGACACTTTCATCAAATTGAAAATTTTAGCTTCCTCGTTCGATGCAAAGACAGAAAAGACACTCGTGGTTTTATTTCTCTTCCTATAACTCCTTTTCATATTCCACTTTGTTCCTTTAGATTTATTTTCGTGCACTCTTCCCTCAGAGTATCTAAGTAAAATGATGGAAAGGTAAAAAGTACTTGGGATGGCTTCGCCTTGCAATAATCGAATAAACGTTCCGAAGTCTCGAGAGGCGTCGCTTTTATTTTGGATTTTATTTCGTTATACCGTGTGTCAGGGTTGTAAAAGTACGGGTTAAGATGCATTCGCCGGAGCGGAATTCGAGTGGTCTGCGAAGCGTTAATGCCCCACGTTAAAGCATTTAATAGCGCCCGACCATGGGTCGTCTTTTGCGTCATTAATTTATTTGGCCATTCTCTCTCCCTTGTCTTTCTCCGTACCCCGCTCGGTTGGCTGCTCGCTTTTCTGTCTCGTGAGCCCTCGAGTCCCTGGGTGCTTTTAAATCTTGTTAAATCGCGACAACGACTGAAACACCAAGAGCACAGACTTCAATGCTGGCGTCAGACAAACACCTCGGTCTTCAACTTCTCTTCTCGCATTTTTCCCACAAACCGTAACGCCTCTCCCAATTTTCCTTGCATTTAATCTTCCGATTCTCCTTCGAACTTCCTTTTTTCAACTGTTCTGCCAAACTTTCTTCAACATTCGTCGCGTTGCAATTTTGTCTACTTCTTACAATTTATTTGCAATTTTTCTCGATATTCTTTCTTGCAAATCTTATTGTTTGCCCCGAGTTATGTAGAAATTAATAACTGTACTTGAATTTAAGAACTACGATATCCTAGTCTTCGTGTGAAGTTATGGCTACGAACACGATCGATTACCAGGGATATTACCAATCGGAGCACATCCCGTTTTTATGAACGTCTTCGTCGTGCCAGGTGATCAAAGCCACGCGAAGCTTTTACCGGAGACTTTCCCTTTTCAAACGATTCCACGCGTAGAATCGTCGTACATGCAAAATGTTGCACGGAAAATATCGTTACAAATACATTTATTAGATGGTAGCTAATCAAATCCAACTAAAAATTTTATTTTTCTTCGTGGTCCAAGACTGGGGGTTCAGAATTTAATTTTTCACATAATTCATTTAAAATTTACTACTGACGATCACAATGTAAGGATTGAAAGTTTTCAATGCGCGCCACAAGTTTACACACGTTCAAAAATTTTAATTTTTAATATAACCCGTTTTAAATGCACTCGGGACCACAACGTTAGGATTGAAGTTTTTCAATTCAAATTTCAACAAGATTCAAACTTTAATTGTTAAAACAACGCGTTCAAAATTACCCGCTGATAACCAAAATGTTAGGGTTGGGACTTTGAAGCGCGTACCGCTCGCGGAGACCATGCATAACCATGAATATATTAATCCCAAACAACCAAGCTATTCCCGCAATTATTATTCGCGAAGTTTGTCGCGCTTAGGGCGGAGTAATAGTGGCCGCGAGCGAGTTTCCGTTATCTCACACGTTATCATCGAATTATGTGCACGTGTCGAGGATACAGCACGTAACGAGGATGCTGGCGCAAGCACGCGCGTGGAAAGCACGAGAGCGTTTCCTTTTCCCTGTCTGAATGAGACCTGAATTTTCTGCCCGTTAGAGAGTGCCAACGCGTGTTATGCAAATACCCGTGATCGTGCTACACCGTGTTCCTGACGATTTCTTCTCGTTAACTTGGTATCCTTTACGTGGGATTTCCCTAAGACCTGGACGCTCAGAAATGGCTAATCTTCGCTTAAACAAAACGTCGAAACTTTTGGAGTTACTCGTATGATCGAATACCAACGTTACTGATTCGATAGTGCTTTTAATTTGAGGATATTTGAATATTTAGGCTAGTCGAATCTTTGGGTTCTTTCTTGACAGAGCTGATGTTTTATTTAAATTGGTTCCGTTGATATTGAATTTTATTTTTGTTTAGACATTATTTACTGGTCTATTTAAAAATAGCGTCCAACGTGGAAAAATGTCTACGTACCGTAGATTTGATGTAACTTTAGAATGATCTGTTTTCTCAAATTGAGCATTGTGTATTATAATTAAAAAGCCTGTAAATATTCTTGATATTAATAGCTGATTTTCTGAAATCAAACGAATGACTTATTATAATATCAAAACTCTGAATTGGACAAATTTATTTGTACTGATAACATTTGAGAGAACCAATGTTGCGTAGCTTCTCAAAGGGAATTTATTTATTGAAACGATAAGGTTGAAGGAAAGAGTAGCTCTTAAATATTAAATATGCTCGTCACGACAGCCTGACTGATCGCAGAATAGCAATCGAATTACCTTTACTTTGTAAGCTCATTAATGGCCAGATCAAACGTAAGCCGTTATACCGTATTAACTTTCACATGCCATTTACAATTTCGAGAGAAATCCAGTTTTTTACTGTATCGCCTATAAAAGTAGGTTTGGGTATTTTGATCCAATTAAGCAAATCGCTCTCTCGGACAACAGGTGTGCGAACAATACAATCGATTCGTACGCTCCTTTCACTATTCCATTCGCGTCTTGGTGTATGTTTTGTGCAAATTCGAGTTGTGAAGCTTTCAACTAAATACATAAATCAATAAATGTCAACTGACACTTACTTTTTTTTTAAACGAACCCAAGAAAAAGTTCCCTGAAAAGATATTAAAATTCTCAGATCATAGATTCAAAAATAAAAAATAAAAAAAAATAACGTACATTTAAAGTACATATTTATTATGCTGGCAATGCGAGGAATAATTTCGAATTTAATTTCTCTGTTTCAGAACAAGACCAGCCAGAACCCTACTATACAGTTCCTAGGAAACGAAGGGGTAAGTGGAAGTCACTTTCTATTATTTAAATATTCGCTTTGCGACGCTCCAGCGACACGTACAGGCTTTCGACTTCTGTGCGTTCGATTCGAGCGGCTATCGACGGTGTGCCAGAGATTGTAACGGTTCGGCCGATTCATTCGTAATCGGCCAGAGTAAGTTAGAATCGGGGACAGTTTTCTCCTTCGATAACGAAAAGCACAGTATCCGTTCCCACGCGTGAACCGAAGATACCGGGGACATCGTTTATTCTTAATGCGTTTTTGGAAAGTTATCTCAGTCGTTACACGCCGGGTTATCCGAGGTTAAGAAAAGTTGTTGGTTCTTTTTTTCCTTTGTTGTACTATCACTGGTAGGCGGGATAACGCGGTTAAAAAATATGTTAATTGTTTGGCTTCGTCGAGGGGACAGCAGAATAATTTGTTTTATTCGTTATTATTAACACTTTATCGACCTGTAGCCATTGAATATACAATTAAATTTAATAATATTTTGTTTTTATAACATTAGTGTTGTAGAGTATTCATTTCGTCTACTAGTCGTCTTTAAAGTAGTATTCATGTAATGCAGAATAACTCAGTGGAATGCTATCTCAGTACCAGATAACAGAATATTGATTGCATTATGAAAAATTCGATTAATAGACTACATATCGATAAAGTGCTAAGATAACATATAGATCGTCAGAATTTATAATGCTCTTTAAATACAAATATGAAAATGATAAAATTCAAGATTTAATTACGATTTGTTGTGCAAGAATGAAAATGAAACAGACAGTGGGTAAAGAATAGTTATCATTTTCAGTCGCCAAAAATTTGTTTTAGCCGTGCAATCTACTGTTTAATCTTTTCAGAGATATCGACACTGTACACACTAGCTCTCGTATCAAAATTACAGTCATTTACAATCACAATATCTTCTACAATTAAAAAATACACAATATCAATCCGAGACATCATATTTGTACACCAGAGTCAATTTACAGATAAAGATTGTTTTGGTTTGTGTGTATTTGATTAAACCAAACAAAAATCCACTTGAACGTCGTCCTTCGAGATGTTAAATCCCATATCCTCTCTCAATTTCTATGAAACGACCGATGATCGGAACGTCGCTCGAATAAAGAATGGAGAAAACGCCCCTCCGCTGTTTACTCGATGAAATCAAATAAATTCACTTATCCGAGTTTACCTGAACGCCTAATAATAGCGTTCTAAACGCGCGCCGTCAGTTTCCTGCGGCCTTGGCCAGAGAAGTTCGCGGGAATAGCGACCCACGATACCGCGTAATCTTTCCGAGAAACTGCAGAACTCGGAAAAAGACGCGTTCGTGCTATCACGCACGCGAGCATGAACGGCTGAAAAAAATCGGCCTCGACATCGCCAGCTGAGCGACACGTGAGACCCAGCGATTTACGTTTTCCGTGAATGATCGTTTAGCATGTGCGACGTTGAACGACGGCGCGGGCCTAACGATGGCGATCACCGACGTTTTTCCCGAGGAACACTTTTCAGCGTTTGATTTATCGCGGGTCTCGTCCTCGCGGTTCGCTATGAAAACTCGGTTGCACGCTCCCCGTGACTAATTCGAAAGTGTAAACTGTTACGCTTCCGAGTCTGATGCAACGCGGATTAGTACGTGCGAACGCGTGACATTTTACGCTGTGCTGCAATACTTCGCGAATATTACCAGATTCCTGTGCACGGCGATTCTAGAAACTGGGACGAGTCATGGATTTTCCTTTATATTCGCGATTTTGACTTTGTCGCTGATAGAAAATTCAGTCTTATTTTCCGAACGGATGAACATGTATGACCCGTTCATTGTATAAATAGATTGACTTCATAAAATAAAAAGTGAAATAATGTACATTGCTTTTTAAAATTCCTTTTATCATATAAATTCGAATAAATATTGTAGAATGGATAAATAGAGATGTAGCTTTCATCTAACGGTATATAAAATTAATAAGAAAGAATATACGAAAAATAATCGTCAGTAATCATTTTTATGTGACTGGTAGAGATGATCGATTCGCGCAGTGAACGGCTCGTATATTATTGTTGTCATTTTATATATTTTTGCGTTTGTGCACGTTCTCGTATTTTTATTTCAATCCGTGAATGTACGCAGTCTGTTGATTATAATGAATACATTTATCAGTAGATATTTATGCATTTATGACAAATGTAAATACGCATGAATGTACAAGGATGTGAAGAAATGCATAGATGTATGAAATATAAGAAATAAAATTCACGTTGCGATATGTAGGAGACAATACATACTTTAATGTACTTTTCTGTTCTTCATTTGTCTATATAAAAATATAAATTTGCAAATGTACCTAGAAAAGTTGAACGAGACTATTGAAGATTAGATAATCTAACATTTATCTGTCCAGATTTATTTTCATCGTCACCTTCGAAATTCATTTTTTAATTCCTTAATGAAAAGTCCTCTCGCCTGTTTCTGGATGACGTGTGGACCAACGTGTTAATACGATTAATTTCTAAAAGAGAAAATAATAAAATACCAATAAATAAAGTCGGGTTGAAAGGGTTAAGAAAAAAAGAACGGTTTCGGTGGAATATTCTTTCTCTGCGCAGAGGTGAAAGAAACAAGAGTGACAGGTCGTGCAACACATAATCGGTGGAGGCTGCGGCGTCTCAAATTAACGCGTGAAAGAGATCATTTGGTGTCGGGGGATCGTTGGATCGGTGGCGATACTGCGCGTGTCCGTAGACGTGGCGAGCACGAAGGTTTCTACTACGGTGAAGGCGATCGAGGTCGTTCGAGCAAGGTTATACACCATTTTCTCCCGTTTGTGCGGCGTTCGTCGATTCGTGTTCTGTTCCCTTCTCGAATCGCCGCGAAACGCGAACGCTCGCTGTCCCAGGTCCTTGGCGATTACCCGCGAATGGGAGAGGTTTGCCAGCGAGCGATTTTTCGAAGGCTGAGCCGCGGGGATCGGTTTACGAGGTTGAACTTCAATGCCGGATTTCGTTTTGGTTCCGGCATATCGAGATCACCTCGACCACCTTCGCCGGAGGGGAAAATTCTTATTTAGATAAATACACGAAATTTTATTTTTACATGGTAAATACGTTACGAAAGATAACCTGTAGAAGAAAGACGCGTGGAAATTAATTCCGTGTCTTTACATTCACGCATTAGTAATAGCGGTTCGAGTAGAAATATTTACAAGTCATTTTGTTACATTGGAGTACCAACCTTCCAAGTCCTCGGTGTAACCTCCATTACAACGGATCCGAATACATAAACTATCCAAGCCTCGGTGTGACTAGCATTCGCAATGTACGACACGTTCGACAGTGTACATATATGTACATGTACAAAGTGTAGTAGTCACCAAATTTCGTGTTTTTAAAATAAAAATTAACAAGAATTCAAAAACGAGATCCAATATTATTTTTATATAGGTTCAAGCTAGAACAGCCCCTTAAATAAACAAACCAATTTTTCTCTATTTCTTTATGCCGCAAAGATGGCGTCATTTCTTAGCGATCGTCGAAGGCCACGCATCTTTTATTTTGCCATGAGAATCAATATCCTGGAAGATCAAGGCCTTCGACGTGTCAATCTTGATGAATCGATTTGCACCTACAATTACGATTGCGATACAGCGAACGTCAGATAACGTTAAACGATAAGCTGTATCGCGAAGTAGGAAAAAATCGATCTTTTAAAAGCATTGCTTTACATCGTACCGTCGTAAAATTTACAAAGACGAGGAAACTTTTATTCTAATAATAACTGTCGAACTTTGGTCTCGTAATTGATCTTGGTTTTGAGTTTTATCGTTCGCTGGTTGCGATGGACGTTTCATGGCGGGCCCCAACGGAGTATTTCAGGAAGGCCGGCTATTTCGAAAAAGAAACATGGTCACCGTGCAACAGTGTCGGTTCGTCCGCGATTATTTATGCAGAGCCGAAAATGTGGTCTCGCGACGGTCTCGAAAGAGAGTTTATACACGTCCCTGGACGTCCAGGATGGACGTAATTCTCATTTAGGTAAAAAGTTTCGAATAATAAATGAAGGATAAACAGTTTATGACATACATAAGGCCGACAGTCGTACAGTTGCAGTCTTTATAACAACAATCTATTTTATGGACATATCGATTCCTTAGTTAGAGTTGTTTTTTAAATCTGTGAGTGATCGATTCTAAATTTACGTTAGATTCTATTGTACAAAGAATTTATTTTCGGTTTCGTTGATAATTTAAATATGTATAAATTCTACGTTTATATGTAGTGACACTGACAATCAATCCTACGTGTGAATTCTTTGTTTACACATAGTTACATTGGAAAACAAACTATGTGTCAATTCTCCATGAAGTCTAATATGAATGTTAATGTATCTACAAATTTTTAAAATGACTCAGACTAAAAGGTATCTTAACTTCACTGAAATAAATTTTTATTATAAATACTACAAGTAAACAGCTTCCCTCGTGTACGTTTCCAACCTCTCCATTCATTTATATTTATACAATCGTGTTACGTTTCACGTTGAACCACCGAAAGTTAATTTGGATAACTGATTAATCTACTAAATATTCCAAACGAGTCCCACCACAGGTGTTCGTTCCATTAGCCGTCTTATTCATATAAAATTCTACCCATTACTGGTCCTGTGTTTTCCATCGCGTCGTCGTTGATCACCGATTCGAAATCTGTTCTCGGTGACGGGATTAAAAGGTGACTGACCCGTCGTTGCCCTTCGCCGTGTTCTTTTTCTCAAGCACGGCTGACTGTCACGTCGATTAGACGTTACTCCGTTTCGGACGATCGAGATAAAGTCCAGCGAAAGTCGTTAAAACCCACACACTCGCGACGCTGATCGACGAGTCCCGTCGATGGGAAAAAGACTCGGAATCACCTGTTGCGGAGGAAAGGTGTTCATCCGTTGGTACAGGAAAGAATAAATCTCGAGACTCCGAGAACGCTATAATTTCTCAATTGCGCTTC